ATTGCACCCAACGGAGCTGCGTTGCCAACCTTGGTAAATATGCTGTGCTGGCTCTGCTGCATTGGACCTTTGTTGTTAATGCAGCCATTGTTGCTGGCGGGTGTGGTTGCTTAGCTTAGCGTTGTCATCTTGGCTATTTTCCGGTCCAATCTGGTTATTATCAAAGGTCAGAATCGGTAACTGTATGGGCAACCACAATTCCGTTTAGGTTTCAGAATTCAGTTCTTGAATTTCATTCAGTAGCAATCTTTTTTACAAACTATTATTATAGTCAAAAATTTTTAAAAGTATTTTTTAGTACCATTTTTTACTTTTATGTATTTTATATTTTTATACTCGTTTTGTCTTTTTAATACCTATTGAAATGTGGAAGAAATTTTTCAAATCGGACCATTCATTAAAAAGTTATGAGCAAATAAGTAAATTCAAGCAGTGCAAGCAGTTGCTTTGCTGCATGCATTTCTTAATCTCTTTTACACTTCCTTAACAGGTATCTGATAGTCGAGGTACTCGAATATACCATTCTTTCTTGTTATAAGGGAAAACAACCTTTAAAGGTAAATAGCACCAACAAATTTGGTACTCAAGAAGTGTGCAACAAAATTGGTTTCCCAAAACCACCCACAACCTATTCCTGATGATTACATTTCAATTTAAATTAACTAAGATTACATTTACCATAAACCAATTATATGGTGAAAATAGAAACTGGACAATTTTTATTAGCCACCGTTGTTTTAATTTAGCATTACTGGCGGTGCTGCTTGGCTGGTTGGTTCGCTCCAGTACGATTTGGTTGGGTTTTCGGCGGGGTTTGGGTTTGAGTTTGGGCCCGGGTTTCGGTTGGGCTTTGTCAAGTTCGACCCTGGGGGCATGGCTCATAAATTTTCGCTGCTATTGCAATATGAAATATATGTGCAACATAATTGAATTGCGTCTGTGTGGGTGCAGTGTGCGGCGTACTGTTAATTTTTAATTTATGCTCATAAATAATCAAGGCATTTTCATTAGACAACAATTTAAAGAGAATGGAAAAAATGAAAAGAAAAAGCGACGGAAAAAAATGCAAATTCATGGGCGAAAAAAAAACAAACATAAATTCTAAAGAAATGGGAAAAACAAATGGGGGGCTAAAGAGTATTGTATTCAATGGTTTCATAAAGATTTGTTCAGGGAAACTAAGTGCATCTATAAGCTGCTTTCACCATTTGTTTAAAGACAATATTTATGAATTTACCGTTTTTTTTCCTCACGATTAAGGAAAAGAATTTCTTGAATTCCTCTTGAAATACCCCTATTTCATAAAAATTCCATACCTTTTAAGATGCTTCAATGCTTCTTGTTGACCTCCGGCTTATGAACATTTTTTAGTCAGCTCAAGTGCCAAAAATAGAAATAAAAGTGCTAAATTTGCGGAATAGATTCCGTTTCTGGTGTTAAATGCCGCGTAATCATTTTCGGAAGCCCATAAAAGCGCAACTAAAAGAGCAGAAAAGGCGAGGGAGTTAAATCGATGGTGGTGGAGTGCGAAAGCTGTGCAAATATATACCAAGTCAGCTACGTCAGCTGGGCATTTTAATGTGTATCTTGTGACATTCGAAACAGCAGCTCGGAAAACGAGCAGGGGAAAAAAAAACACAAAAGAAATAAGGCCAATGATGCTTGTAATTGTAGCTCCAGTTGGAGCAGCGACTTTTGTTGGTTTTGCAACTGCTGTTGCTGTCGCTGCTGTGTTTTCTACCCACTTTCGCTCCAAATTCCCCCTTCCCCATTCCATTTTGACTGTTTTTGGCCATGACGGCCAATTGCAATTTCAAGGCTGCAACTCCAAGTCGAGCACTCCATCTTCTTCACCATCATCACATCGCATTGCATCGCCCACATGCGCAAACAAGTCTTAAAAACTCATTAACGTTTAATAATGTGAAAAGAGAGACGCCGCCGGCTGAACACTTGGCCACTGAGTTGTCACCAGTTTGTGGTACAGATAAAAATATTACGGATTTTTAAGACAATTTCATTACCAATTGGAAAGTTGCTTAGAAAAAATGCTTGGAAACGGCTAATCTTTCAAAATATCTAAATCTTTTATTTAAGTTTTAAGATGATCTTAATTTCCTTCTTATCATAACTTCTTTTATAATAGAAGATGATCTTAGTTTTAAACTCATCAGAAATTAATATATTTTATTCCTTTTATTACAGTTTTAAGATCATGATATCAGTTCCAAGATGATCTTAATTTTATACTCATCAGAAATTAATATTTTTACTATCTATATGACTCTTTTTTTTCAGTTTTAAGATCATCTTAGTTCCTTTTCTACCATAACTTCTTTTATAACGTTAGTTCCAATATGATCTTTAGATTTTTAATCATCAAAAATAAATATATTTAACATCTAAGTTATACAAAACAAGTTGTAGTTCATATTTCCCCTTTATAATACCAGTTTCTAGATGATCCTAATTTTTTTCTGTGCAGCTACCCAGCATCCTATGTTTACTGCCCCCGATGGACATTTGCTGCACTCAATCAAGCTCGAAAAACCGAAAGGGGGTTGATATGGGAGGTTGGCGGATGGCAGGGGGCTAAATTCCGGGATGAGTTGTCTTCATTTTGCCATGAGTGGCAGCGGGCAACTGCAACAGAGCAACCATAAAAGATGACAACGGCAATAGCATCATTTTTGCTCTACTGCCAGCGTGTTTTTTTGGTCGAGAAAGTGACCACAGAAGGAAAAGAAATGCCAGCATTACCTAATGGACTCTAAAATACTCTGAAGTTAAGATGATACCATTAAAAAAATATCTTAGAGATATTATAAAAATCAACCAATCTTTTTAAAAAGAGATTTACTTGATTAAATATCAAGAACCCAAATTTATCTTCAGGAAAGTGTAAATCAATAATTCGTATCTCAAGAAGTGTTTCAATTAACAACTTCTTAGTGTAGACAGTTCTTTAACCCAGATATCTACTCTATAAATAGAACTCTCGAGACATTCCAATTCCATCGAAAACTCGATCATGAGCAGGAAACTGTGTTTAAGACCACAACATTTTGTCATCTCATCTGTGGGCCGGCTTTATCACTTCTTGCTGTCCGTCTGTCCGTTTGTCCGCTTGTCCGTTCCGTCCGAATAAGAAAACGCAACGAAAAAACCGCATGACAGTGCTATAAAAACCCAGCTTCATCCTAGATAATTACGATAGAGTAAACCCGCTTTACTGCGGGGAAATCTTTTCTTCTACACAGCATCTATATATCTATCTGTGCAGCTTCTTCTTTGTACGCTGCCAGCCATAACTGTAGTTGCAGGTGTGTAGGTAAATGTACTCGTGTAGTTGTTGTAGTTTCGGTGTTTGCTCGGGGGAATTTACGGAGCGTTGATGGCTTTCTCCTCTAAGACTCGATTTTATGGAGGAGGAGGAGGAGAAGGAGGGAAGTGGATAACGTAGTGCTCCAACTAAACTGGGAAAATGGGAATGAGGAGAGGGAGATGATCTCTAGGCCATTAAGAGTGGCCACTGGCCAGCAAAAAAGTTTTCGTTTATTGGAGGCATGGGCCAGTTTTATAGCTTCATTTGCACACAACAACTGCTGCAGAGGCCGAGGTCAGGTTGCTATATCATAAGGGGGCATAGAGGACAGGTGGGCGCAGGAGTGGGCGTGGCTCGTTAGCAAAGTGCAAGGTGGATCGCTGTTCTTCAAGCGGAACGGTAGCCAAAGGCCTTCAGAGACTTCTAGCTAATCGAAAGCTTTAAATTAAAAAAATAATCTTACAATTTTCCTTTATCGTTATGATAAAATGGAATATCATATGGTTTATGCGACAATATTTCAAGATAATTGCAGATAAGGTTTAATAACTAAAGAATTCCAACGAAAAATAAATTGTACAAATATTATGTTCTTCTTGCGAAAAATTTTGAAGAGAAAATATTTATTCAATTAACACTAAAAACTTAAAAACTTTTAGTTTAAACGATAATTGTTAACTATTTTAAAAGATAAGGCCCAGTGAAATGAGTAATATTTCCAAGAATTCGACCAAAAAAAAAGCACCCAATAACATTTTGAGCAATCAGTAAGTAGGAAATGTTTCCGCGAAATCTTTCCCACAATCAGTGTTTCTTCTTTGTGTGTCGCGTATTGCCATTGGGGCTCTACTATAGCCAACGAAAAAGTCACGACCCAAGTGAGCATTATTTTCCGACGATCCGGTGGTCACTATCATCATTACAGTGCGGCCGATAAGTACGTGGCCCATTGTCATTAGCTGTGGGCATTAATTGCAGGTGGAAAGCGACGACCTTAATGCATTCGGTTCCACAGTGCCGGCTGATAAAAAGCAATGCATTTGCAATGCCACGAGTTGAAAGCAGAAAAAAATAATCTCGACTAGGGGATATCCGGTAATTACTGTCGTGTTAAAAAAAAATTGTAGGTTCAGATAGTAAGATTAAAATAATGCAAATTTCTTTTTGGATAAATTAAATTCTTTGTAAATATTATAAAACAGAATAATAATTTTCGAGATCATAGATCATTAACTGTTGATCCCGATAAGGAATATATGTAAAACGTCGGAACTGACCAGTACTATATAGATTATGCCCTCCCGACTCACAAAAGAAACGGGCATTAAGCAGGAAAGAAATCCTATTAAATCAAATTTTTCAGAATCTATAATTTTCGAGATCACAGATCATAAACTGTTGATACCGATAAGGAAAATATGTAAAACCTCGGAACTGACAAGTACTATATACAATATACCCTCCCGACTCACAAAAGTAACGGGTATTAAGCCGGAAAACTGCATTTAGCCAGAAAAACGAGAAGAGGAATCTTCAGCGGATTTTATTTACACGAACCGGTTTAATTGGCTCGACCCCCAATCAAAATCAAGTTCACGAACGCACTGGCATTACGAGTCCAATAAGTGCATGCGGGGAAAAACAGATGAAAAGTCTCTCGTGGAAAATCGCTTACCCAAAGGGAAAATCTCTGGAAGCTGCAGGATGTAGAGATGAAAGGAGAAATCAACAAAAGTGTTGCAGGATTAACGCGAATTCTTTTCGTTTTTCTTTTTTTGTTTTGGAGTGTGTATGTGGCGAATTAAAGTGACCAACAAAAACAGACACACACACACGGGCAGGCCGCTCACTAACTAACACACACACTCGCACGCACTGAGGGCGAGCGAGAGAGAGGGGGTAGAGAGTTGGAGCGAGAGAGCGAGCGAGGGGCGATTCGGAAATTGAACACGTTTGCCGCGGTTCCGATTTCGATTTCGATTCCGGCGGAGGGCGTAGTACCGCCCCTAGAATGTGGGCGACCCGGTTTATTTACACGTCCGTATGCCCGAATCGCTCAGATACATATATACATTACAGACCGCGCCTGCTGCTGCTGCACTTTCTACAACTACAACTACAACTCTCTGTTGCGTACGCGCGTGTGTGTGTGTTGGTGTGTGCGTTTCAAGTGCACACGTATGCAGCTGGCTGTGATTTCTTCAACTTGATTCGATTTTTATCCCGAAAATACTCGGCAAAAACTACTCACACTTGCACTGCACAAGCACTGTCGGATCTCTTGATTAATAATTAATTCGTGCGCGACGCGACATGTCCTCCCCGTAGCAAAAAATTACCAAGAAGAAGAGCGGTGCGGTGGCTTAAATAGACTTTTCGGGTTTTTGGGGTGACCAGAAACTCACTGAACTTCGGGATGTGAGAAATAATACCGATACTTTCTGAGTAAAAATAAATATCGTGACTGGTTCACAAATTTTAAGATTAGTTCTAAAATTATTTTGTTGTTAAGTAATATGATATTATAATACTTTATAAAAATAGCTATTAAATGCATTTACAATACATATACAATAAACTCCAAAAAATATTAAAAACTACCTTTTTCTATTCCTTAAATCCGGAATTCGAAATGTAAATGTAAACATGTACAAATAAATACAAAATTGGTAATAGTCTAGAAGAGCGGCCTGAGCACCAAAAACCGCGAAAAAATTACCCTCGATGGACCGCGATTTCTTAGGAATTTACGTGCAGAAGATTATTTGCGGAAATGCATGGTTCTCTTGTAATTGCATTTCAAAGTTGCGTGTTTTGCTATAAAAACAAAGTAGGATTTTGAGGTGTTTTGTGTCATTTTGCTATAAAAACAATGTAGCATTTTCTAGGAATTTATGGGTTTGCTATAAAAAACAAGTAGGCTTTTGTTGCTTAATCAGAAATGGCACTTTTGATTTTTGTTTACTATGGATTCCTGCAACGGGTGCACTATTTCTTATAAAGACTTTCTTGCCATGGACGAAGAAGAAGTGTTTGCATTTCTGCAGAGACATGGAGTTGTTCTAAAGAGCAAGGACTGTCCCAAGGGTACCTAGCGCGATTCACTTTTTTGAAAAGGCACCCAAACCACACCTCAAGATTCCATGCAATTTTCTCAGCAATGGGCGAATTGTTTAATCCTGAACGCGATGTTAGTATTTAAAAAGAGATGGGAAATGCTAAAAAAGCGCGATTTTTTTTTTTAATTTTTTTGCCTCCGGCGCTTTTTTAGCATTTCCCATCTCTTTTTAAATACTAACAATTAACTATCTTAAATTTCAGGAATCCACCGATACGGACAATGAAAAAGAATAGGCTTAATCTGTACCACTAACCAGCATTTTTTATAAATAAATATTTACTGTCCAATCATTAACCATAGTTTTATATAGCATTTTATTTACTATTACAAATAAGTTACAAGTATAAGGAGGTACTGATAAAGACTAAGGTTGATCCTCCTCGGATTGCGATTTCTTAAGACACATCTTAAAAATGTATATGTTGGTCATCCATGGTCGCCCAAGCTCTTAAGGAATCACGGTCCATCGAGGATATTAATTCGCGGTTGTGGGGTCTGGCCTGCTATAAAAACAATTTCACATTTTTGTCGAATTTTTTCGAACGCTTATTATTTTGACAACAAACGGAAAGCCCATATGTTTTTTATAGCAAAATGACACAAAACACCTCAAAATCCTAGAAAATCCTACTTTGTTTTTATAGAAAAACACGCAACTTTGAAATGCAATTACAAGAGAACAATGCATTTCCGCAAATAATCTTCTGCACGTAAATTCCTAAGAAATCGCGGTCCATCGAGGGTAATTTTTTCGCGGTTTTTGGTGCTCAGGCCGCTCTTCTAGACTATTACCTTGTAGAAATTTAGTCAGCAACTAAATTAAAGAAATCAAAATATCAATACCGATATTTTTTAAATAAAAAATTTATTTTGAATGGATCCCCTGCTCACACATCGATAGGCAGCACGCACCCGAAATCGAAGAAGAAGATGCATATCGATAGGCTGGGCAAATGACAAATTTTTTAATTACAATAAAAACGCCGACGAACTCTGCGCTGAAACTCACTCGCCTCGCGTCTTCCCGCGTCGCCATGCACAGCCGCAGTTTGCTGCCGGACCCGGCTGTCTACCAGCCGGACACCCTGGACCTGAACACGGACGGAAAGGCGGCGGACTATTGGTTCGGCTGCTTCAGGGACATGGTCGCGAAATTCGCCAAGGTGGCGGAGAAATCGCAGGAGGAGGATCAAACAGCCGCAGAGCGGGCGCAACAGTTCCAGGCGGCTTACCTGCAGCAGCTGGAGGAGCATCAGCGGAATGTGCCGCAGAACAAGGGCAAGGTTATCCTGGGAACCAGTGAGCTGCTCCAACTAAACGAGACTTTGCTGCGTCGCTATGGCTTCGCAGATCCCTGGCTGCGGCAGAAGAAACTGGAGAATGCCTCAGCGGTTTCTAGACTCAAGCAGCGCCTCCAGGAACTCGACGCTCTGGAGGATGAGGATGCCAGGTGGACTGAACTAGTGCGCGGCGTGCTGGCCGGCAATATGTTCGACTGGGGCGCCCAGGCCATATCCAATATCCTGGAGCAAGACAGCAATTTCGGCCTGCATTCAGCTTTGGAGCGAATCGAACAGCGTCCCTGGCTGCTGGACAATCTGGACAGTTGGCTGCAGCGACTGAAGGGCGAACCCCACAAATGCGCCGTGGTCTTTGTGGATAATAGTGGTGTAGATGTGGTCTTAGGTGTACTCCCCTTCGTTCGAGAACTCCTAAAACGAGGCACCAAGGTGCTACTCTGCGCCAATAGTGAACCCGCTTTAAACGATGTGACCAGCAAGGAGCTGAGTTCCTTACTAGATGAATGCGCCAGGGAATGTGAGGTTCTGCAGCAGGCTTGTTCCCAGGGAAAACTCCTGGTCTATGCAAATGGACAGTCAGGACCTTGCCTGGATATGCGCACCCTGCCCCAGGAGCTGTGCGATGCCATCGCCGCAAATGAGACTGATCTGCTCGTGATTGAGGGCATGGGAAGGGCTCTCCACACAAATCTAAATGCCCACTTTGGCTGCGAGACCCTCAAGCTGGCCGTGATCAAGAACAAATGGCTGGCCAAGTACCTGGGCGGTGGCGAAACCATGTTCGCCGTCATCTGCAAGTTCGAACCGGCATTGCCCAGCTAGTCCAGGATCAATTGTCTCCCTGTCGTTCTTTGTTATCCCCTGTTGACAGACAAACAAAGATGAAGATCATCTGGGTTCCTTGTTCGAAATTATTGTTATGATCCATAATCCACAGTCCCACACCGATGAGATTCATATGTGTATAAACCTAATCTTAATGCAAGTGCTTTTTTCGTGGTCACCTCACCCATATAACCGCTAAAACTTTTAATAATTAAAAACAAGAATATATAATAACAAAGCCTTTTGTTTATCATCACGGCGGTTTATTATCGGTATGGACTGCAATATTGATAAGGTGCCGATAAGGTCTCGTGGTTGCTGGTGACATTTCATCAGCTCAGCCATTTCCCACCATAAAACTTGGTTAATGTCTGTTTATATTTACATGCGGTCTCGTCTCGTTTATTTTTTGTGGCCTGACCTGCGTTGCGTGCCAATTCTTAGCTTTAGCTATCTCACTTATCTTTCGATTCGTGGTCGAAATAAAAAAGGCAGCAACAAAGAAGACAGTCACCATAATAACTGGTTGATAAGCAGATAGTAGATAAGATCGGCGAGCGAAGACGAGACCAGGAAGTGCATGATCTTAAGCTGTATTCAAATTAAATTCCGATTCACAGAACTTGGAATGAAAAGCCAGCCAAGCTATTATTATAAAATATGTCAATAAAAATCCAAAAATAACACACTAGACTGTAAACAACATTTTTTTGAACTGCAAGTTTTAGCCTTTCATAAAATTATTGGGAATATGGAATAGTGGGTCAATTTACTCAATAAAATACAGGGTATAAAGGGGTAGGCTTATCGACAAAACTGGTATGGAAAGTTTATAACTATTTTTAGAAATATTAAGAGAATATGATTAAAGTTATCAATGAAAAAACAAACGCTATACATGAAGCTTTTTTTCATTCAATGAGATAAACAAATATTTTGGTGGACGCAATTTTGGTTTTTGTATTTAAAATGATAGTTATAAATGAAAGTTATAAACAAGCATAAACATAAATAAATCAACGAAAATTCGAGTAGCAATACAATAAACAAATGGAATACTTCAAGCTTTCTTTCATTTACTGAGATAAACAAATAATTTGGGAGGCACACTTTTTGATTTTGTACTTAAAATGTTTAAACAAAATCGAGTACCAGTTTAAATTACTTAAAAAGTTTTGAAAGTTATAAAAAAGTATACACATAGACAACTTAAAAGGTATGCGAAAAAACTGATTTATAAAAAATTATACTTATACTTGAAACACAATACACGTCGACAAATTACTCATAAATAAAGCAACCAAAATTCGAAAAGAAAACTTGTTTGAATAACCAAATGTAACGGAATTTTCGAAAATCTAACAGGGTGGCGTGCCTCTAACAGAAAAGTTAACGTTAACAGTGGGCCGCCTAACATCAGCTGGCGAGATCTCGTGTCACGAATTCACCCCTTCAAATCGTCAGCTGTTCGCAGTCAGTTTTTCGACGGTCGTGTGAAAAAATTAATGCAAAAAATCCCCAACAGATAAACAATAAATAGGCGTGCGGAAAAAGGAGGAAACCGGGATTAGTTGAAACTCGCGTCGTTTTGGTTCTTTTAGTTTCCTTAAACCACTTTGCTTTGCGCTCTGTCAGGCATTTCAGTTCCGTTTCAAATTCGTGGCCCAAGTAATTTATCGGCGGATAATATGGATATTCTGAGGAAAATGTTCAAGACCGAGGCGGAAAAGGAGCCGGAGTAAGTACTGGATAATTGGGACTACAAAGTCCTGGGCATTATGCAAGTTTTGGGGGCCTTAGAAACATTGCAACGGCGTAAAAAGTCTAAAAATATTAAGGGGGGCTGCGAGAATACAGCGGCGTTTTTCAGGCGACACTGGATCGATAAACCAGGCACCTGCCTTTATAGATACATTTTCACCAGGATACACACACGCACGCGGAAAAGCGCCCGTTTTTCGCCGTTTTCTCTCCGTGTGGGAAAAAGCGGAGGCTGCGTATTGAAGCACCCGAGGGTTGGAAATCCCAAATCCCTACTCATCCTCCCCGTTTTCCACTCTCTTTCTCTCTCTCTCACTTTGGTAAACCAGCTCTTCGGTTTCCGCTTCCAACAAGGACGAGTTCCGGAAGCCCCAGTGGTTCGAGGAGGCCGAAACGGATGACGAACTCTTCGACGATGATCGCAAGTTCGCGTTCCAGGTCTTCACTAGTCCTTTGGAGATGCAGAAGCACTTCGAGAGCCAGCTGCAGCGACTCCTGGAGTCCTTAAATGATAACGATGGTAAGCGGTATTATCTCGAGGACTTTTGGAAATCGTTATAACATCCTAAAACTTGATTCTAAATATTTGTTTTTGAAATTTCCGTTCTCAATATGAAATATTACTCTTTTTTGTAACCCTTTTTAAGAATTTTCAAGGTACTGATTAAAAATATTGGTTTATCTTTCATCCGAAAATCATCAAAAAAAAGTATTTAAAACTATCCTTTTTTTAGCTGTTTATTAAAAATATTCGGTTATCCTTTAGTAGAAAATCCTGCAGATAATATAATATCTATTTCTAACTAGAAATACCTTTTTTTTTGTATGGAGATATTTTTTTGTACTTTCTCAGAAAGATTTTCCGAAAAATGCATATACTTTAAAATATGCATAAATAAAATATTTAAAGAAAAGTATTTCTTGTTAGTCTATTAAAATAAAATATTAAAGTATCCTTTCTAAGAAATTTTTGCAAGTTTGTTTATTGTAGGGAGATAGCTTAGTTATTCACTCCTAAGAAATCGATTTCCACCAATCTAATTGGTTGTTTGAAATGTAATTTACCGAGTGACACATAATCCATAGGTAATTGCAACTACGTAGGTTAGCAGAATAATTTACCTTACCTTAAATTACCTTGAATTTCAACTTTATGGTATTGAAAGAGATTTCTGTTTCCCACTAAATAATAACATTTAAAATTATACCTTTTTAATATTTTACCTATTCAGATGGCTTTGAGCGGGACTTGAAGGAGGACTTCCTAAAACCGGGCTTCGAAAGCAAGATTCTGAAGAAGTTTGAGCAGCAGAAGGACTTATCCCTTGATACCGATCTGGATGGCGAGTAAGTAGTTCAGAAATCTGTAAATCTCACAAGATTAATTTCTAAATAAATATTTTTCAGGATCTATGCCGATCAGTTGCACTCGCTCATCCAGCGCTTGAATCCCGAGGAGAAGTACGAGCCGGGCGACCAGGAACTGGGCAACATTTTGCCATCGAATCAGCATGGCTACCGGAAGAGCTTCCAGCGAGCCAAGCTCACGGATGAGGAGATGATCATGGGTCGGATCCATGGCACCATTTCCGCTGATGGCGACGGCCAGTCGTCGGCTCGTCCGCCGCGTCCGCCGATGAACAACAAGCCGGACATCATGACACCCATGACTCCGATGTTGCCGCGCAGTGGAATGTCTCCATTTGGCGGGGTTTTCGACGGCAACTATCAGGTGGGAAAGATTAGGAAGTTTTAATGGATTCAATGAATTATTTTGAATTTTTTATTTTATATGAATGAATTAATTAGAATTTTTAGTTTAATAGAATTGAATAAATTTAAATTTTGAGTTTAATAGATTTGAATGAATGAATGCCATGGATTCCGAAATAATTTAAATGACAATTTCTTTTGAAGAAGAAAATGCCATAATTTTGTGATTTAATTTGCCTGAATTTTATTTACTAAGCAGGTAACATTTATTTGTTACAAATTTTCCACTTTTTGTTCTCAAAAGAAAGCATAAAAAAAGTGGCAAATTCAAAAAATTCATAAAAATTATTCATTCATTCAATTCGAATTTTTTTTTTCTTTTTATTGAATTTAGAATCTGTCCTTTGGACAATCACTAAGTGATATAGGGACACCTTAACTATTATAATATTGTAGATAAAATTTGTTTACAAACATGTTCAGAAGCAATTCGAAATGAATTAGAAAAACATTCAAACAAATCAAAAATTTCATGGCATACTATGATAAAACAAAAATTGAATGATTCACGCAGGGTTCTAATAGGAACCCTTCTTATATATAAAGTCTCTAATTTTTTATTTTTTCCCTTAGGGTCCCAAGCTCTTCAGCCAGAGCGTGATGACCAAGACGGTGCGCAAGCCGGATGGCAGCTATGAGACCACCAAGGTGACTCAGGACTCGTCTGGTCACAAGACCACCACGGTAACCAGGATGATAGATGGTCGCAAGGAGACCATTGTTAGCCATGATGGCGGGGAGGCTTCGCCCATCGGAAAACAGCAGAAGGAGGTGGCAGTGGCCCGTGGCGAACGCAACATATTCGTGACAAAAGAAGGCTACGCCATGCCACGGAACCTCTGGTGACCAGTGGTGAACAACTATTGCCCCAATCAAGACAGGCGATCTCTGCTGGAGCAACTGAAACAACAGCAACAACAGCAACAGTATGCAGATAGGCTAAAGCGATTCGTCGGCAACATAGTCCCGCATCCACACAGCATCCAAATTAGAACCTACTACATTTTAGTTTACATTCTCCTTAGTGTTTGGTGTTTTAGATGAAACGCACTTGAGACAACAACAGCAGATGACGACGATTATTGACCATGATTTAATTGACCAGCGGATTGATCCAGCTGGCCATGTATATTATGTGTGAGAAAAGGCGTACTACACGCCGCACTTTCAGTTCCCAGATCCAGGGATCCATCACCTCTCTGCCAGGCCACAAAAAAGCTCGAAATGGAGTTTTGGTTCTCGGCGAGGGAGAGATTGATTGAGCGCTGCGAACGTGTGATTTTCAGTTTTGCGAGCAGCAGGAAAAGGCCAGCCGGTTTTTGGGTTGAAGACTACTACTTCATCCAATCCCCCAGAGAGCTGGCAAATCGCCGAAAAACTTCGGCAGTTATTATGTATTATTGTATTTGATTCTTCGTGTTACTATCTGTGTGTCTCAATGTGCTGCGATCGTCAGCATCTAAAGTGCCCGTAGTGATTTAACAGCGCGAAAAAGATTAAAAAAGTAAATGAAACCACTATACAATACATTACAATACAACAAATCAAGTTTATACACTATCTATCTATCTATTGCGTTAATATTTTGTTAGTTATACACACTCTACATTTTTTATATGTACACTTAAACACCCTTCGTGGTGAATTGATCTAATTTCTGCCCAAGCAGTCGAGTTCAACTCACAGTATTTTGAATTACAATTCGGTTTTTTGTTTATATTAGTTGTTAGTTTTACTAATCTGTAATGCCTAAGTTGATTTTCGATCAGATCTAATGTTTAAAGAGGACACAATGCATACACGCATTAGTTATCATTCAAGAAACATGCAAATAAAGTGTTGTGCAATAAAAACTGGGGTTGCCTGTGATTTTTTGGGAGGAAAGGGAATTGGATATTGAACATTTTTATAAACTGACATGGTGGATATAGGCCAGGATTTCTTAAGCTACTCATTTAATAGAGAATTTTATATTATTTTATGGAATTTGAGAAGTTTAGCTTGGTAAGTAAAGTGGAAATTTGATAGTAATAACCAGAATCAGGGATCAAAACAGGTAAGAATCTTTTGGGACTAAATATATTCAGGAAATATGAGTATATCACTAAATAATAGTACTTACCTAAGGTAATGTGGTAATTCTTTATAGAAGTAGTGAAAAAATCTGGTTATAATTAAGATAGGTCACTATTTTTAGTATAGTTGGGTTTAAACTAGAGCAACAAGATTTTATGGACTTCAGAAGCTTGTTAAATAAAGTAAATAAAGTGGAAATTTGATAGGAATACCCAGAATCAGGAATCATAAAACTTTACAATATTTTGGGACACAATACATAAGTAACTATCAATATAGCAATTAATAATAGTACTTACTTATGGAAATTTGGTAATCTTGTTCTTTATAAGGACCCTTTTTTTAAGCATTCTTTATAAAAGTAGTGAAAATCTCTGTTATAGCGTCGATAGAACACTATTTTTAAACATTCTTTATAGAAGTAGTAGAAATATCTGGTTATAACGAAGGTATTTCCCTTATTGAATGCATAATTTTATTCAGTTTAGTTGGGTTTAAACTAGAGCAACAGGATAGACAGGTTTTCAAGATGCTTTACAAGCTATTGGCTGTTAACCACCATAGATTTCGACTCCTCAATGATGGTGATCATCTTTCTTGACGAATCGCAGGCCGCAGTAGCCGCAGATGTGATTGCCGGGTTTGTCCTGCACATGAAACACAATCGTACAAGTGATTTCTATAAGATATATATCTAGTTTCGAGCTCACCAGGTTGATGTAGACCTTGGGATGACCCAGGGGACCATCGCCTCCGTCGCAGAAGACGACGCGTTCGGTGCATTCCTTGGGCGGCACCTCCTCGATGAGCTTGATGCCCCAGTTCTCGTTCACATACCGCTTGGCATTCACAAACCGCGCATTGCGGTAGTCGTCCTTATCGAACACCTGAAATGAGTTAAAATTTAGATATTTTGATACATATTCCACACAATGTTTGCGTAATCGCAGGATGGTTTGGTGGTTCCATTCGGAAATTCTCAATTATTCTTACTTGTCCGGTGTGCGTGACCTTCTCGATGTCGTTGCGACAGCTGGAGTGACGGACGGTGGCCAAGGGGCTCATCCAATTCTGGCGCGGACGGCCGAGTTTGGCCAAATTGTTTACCAATTGCTTGCTGGCCATTTTTTATACCACAAATTTGCTCGCACAATGTATTGTGACAGGAATTACCCTGTGCCTGTCAGCTGGCCTAACAGCGCGTTAACAGCCCAGATGTTAGTTGACATTTAGTGTGGCGCTCGACACTGTTAATTTTAAATTTTTAAGCTTTCCCATTCCTAGCACTTTTTTTACAAAATTCTCAATTAAATTGAAATAAAAATTAATTTCTTTAATAGTCTTATTTTCCGAAATAATCCACTACTGGGGCTTCACAATTATTTCATAAAATGTTTTATAGCTTCAGATTTTGTTTTTTCTTGCGTTTGTGACTGTTCTGACTCACAGGAAAAGCAAAATTGTGCTTTTGAAATTTATAAAGCTGAGACAGCAAAAGAATTAGCCTAAACAGAAACAAAACAATAGAACATAACATGATTTTGAATTTAAAATTACGTTCTTTTCAACATTATAATTATTTTATACAAAACGTTAATATATTTGAGTTAGAAATCTTTTTTTTATATTATCTAAAATGTTTTAAATTTTAAAAAATAGTTTAACATGTGTTTATCTTTTCTAACACTATTTCTTTTTTAGAGGATGTCCATCCCTGATCTATTTCTTTACGTTGACAACACTACACATTTTGTGACGCCGCCGGCTTTTCTAAACATTCTTGTAAACTATTTTAAGCATATTGCTGATTTAATCCTGCAGAATGAAAAGTGATAATATCTGGACAGAAACGATTGCCCAATATATAAAGGTTTTGTACTACTCTCTAGTCGCCCGATGACCAACTTGTTAGGAAAGAACTATTGGGTCAACATGTAAAAAAGATGTAAGAAACTACTAAACCTACTCTAAACATAAATACTTAACTGTTTCTTTACATAATTCATGATTGTAATTCGGTAACAACTATAATCGCTGGAGGAATCTCGCCTTTTGTCCAAGTCTTCTATCGAAACGCAGAAAAACTCAGGAAGATCCAGAAGAATTCTCTGCCCGAAGATTTGTTGGACCTATCCGGACTATAACTAGTGATTGAAGTGTACAATCTAGTAAGATATTATAAAATAAAAGTTAATATTGGGTAAGTTAAATATAAACATTTGTAATATGATTTTGTAATATATTTTGTACTATCCTTCTTCATCAAGTTTCGTATGATTCATTTGTACAGATTCCGTATAGTATGCCAAAGTTTTTTGCGCCACCTAATCGCACGGTCTTCTCTCAAAAAGATATTGTTTAGAAGCAGGGGATGTAAACAAAAACCGAAGAAAGAGCACACTTTTCCCTTGAAGAAAGCGCCGCACGAAAAGAAAAGCCGGCAGAAAATGCCGAGAGCGGATTCTTCGTGCGCTTTCCCCGAACCATCAGTTCGAAAATTTTCGAAATTTTCCCCCAAAGATCGGTGCTGTGCCTCCTGGCGCTTGGGGAGACCATTCAGTTAGTGTTTCGTGCTCGTCGAGTGTTGTTCTCGGTTCTTCCTCTGCAACATCTAAAGTTCTTCATTGAAAAGTCTTCTTTCCTGCCATCCATGCATATATACACGCCTCTATATATACGCATATATAGAAATTGAAATTGGAATTGTTCGCGCAGTGAATTCTGGTGTAAAATCAAAGCGAATTTACGGTGTGTAATGTTACGAATTAATTGGCGTATACCATGTGTGTGCTATTAAGATCCCATTGAAAAAGCTCAAAGAAATGCCAAAATTTTCAAGGATTACATAATCGGCTGTGAAGTGCTTTTTGGAAGAAAGAAAAAACGTGTTTTTCCACGTTTTCCGGTGCGAGAAAAATGAAACGGAAAGAATATGGAATTGTGTGGTCCCAAAATCGAAACAATGGATCGATCAAAGAGGATTATATCCCATAAAGCGGATGGCAATTAAAAGTGGTCCCAGAATAAAAGTGAAGCATGCGAGGCTGCATCTTTTTGCTCTCGGCATGGTTTCCTCCGACCAAACCGAACCGAAAGTTTAACGAACTGAGTTCATTTCTATTTTTGAATAATTCGAAAGCAACGGACAACGGAAAACCGACAACCGCCGCCGCAAAGTGAAAAGTCTGCATGAGTTTTCCCTCGTCGCGGTGGTGCGATTGGTATTGGGGGACGTGTGCTTTTTAAGTGGTGCCGATACACCACCGCACCTCCGAGCCGCCTACACTGTGCAGTTTTTGGTTTTTGTTTTTGGAGAATCCATAAAGGAACTGAAATATTGAAAGCAGATGACGAACCATTTTTCGGCTACAGAAACTGTGCAAAATTCTGGAAAAATTCTAGAACAGATGAGAACAGTGGTGGCAGGATATGAAGAATCAATTGTATTTGTTTTTGAAATTATTTATCAAATTTTGGATGTTATTATTGGCATACATCAATTACATTTTTGTTTAAAATCATTATTCATCCCAATTTGGTCAAGTAATTAAAGTAAATAATATTATCCTTATAACAAACCAATTAATTTAAAAATAAAAATACTAAGTTATAATTATTTCTACATTTAATAAAAAATATGACAACTTTGGGTTTTTAAACCTTGATTAGTTATATTTATTTTATTAAGAAAACTTTTCTGAAAAAAATGTTTAATTTTAAATAGTTTATTTATCTAAGAGAGCTTAAAATCTTTTAGTGCGAAATTATTATAATTTTCCATTTCAATGTCTGTTTATTTTATCAAGCTCAATTTATTTGCCATCCAAATGAAATTGTTTGCTCAAGACAATTCACTTGAAAAACAATTATTTAAATTTTCCGTTCTGTACATAATGTTTTCGAAATTCAGCTAATTTCACTTTCACGCAGCATCCAATACGAAATCAATGAGTTGAGACGTTTCCAAGGTTCCCACGCACACACTGCGAGGAATATATCATAGACTTTTGAGGCCTTTAAACAATTTTGACAGCAGCTAATCCCCAAATGCTCACTTCTCTCCTTGCTGCCTCTTTCGATCTGTAGCATAATGTTAATATGTATTCATATATGAATTGTAAATTTTCTGCCAGGAGCACATATATTTTCACTAATATATGTGACAACTAACTGAAATAAATATTTGTGCGCCAAAAAACACTCTTTGGAGACTCACGTCAGCCCCATTTTTAAAGATTGTCTAAATGTTTAGAGCACTTCCGTTAGAATCTATATCTTTCTTATATGCGGATACTATGTGCGTAGTCTGGTGAAATTAGTTGGCTAACCGTTTTCGAGAATAGGTCATGATTTATTTATGTTTCCTTGGCTTATTTTCATTTTTGTGGTCCACTTGACATAATTGGGTTGGATGTTCAGGTGATTGTTTTGGCTAATGAACAAATGATGATTTATGATTCTGCAAAGTTTCTGTGGATGGTCGAAAATATGCCAACCAATTCTTCGTTAGAATTTATGAATGTAAAATAGTTTAAAAAATATTTATTGAATATTAATGGTTTTACCTACATTAAAAATATACTTCATATGAAACGATGATCGATTTGACGTTATGTGGTATCAATATTGACTTTATATTTCGGTGCAAATGATATGCAATACCAGAAATTTACCATGCGCATGTCGATTCGACCGCGACCTTAAAAAAACAAATTTTGTGGAAGTAAAAAGACATTTTAAAAAACCTAAAACTCAATACGCCCCAATTTAAAGTCTA